ATGATTTCTCGAGGTATTACTGGTGTGCACTGTGCACTGATAAGAAAGAACTGAACCTCGAGGGACTAGTAGAAATTTAGAGTCCACTAAAGTCAGTTCAGAGAGGCCGTATAAGAATTTGCAAATGCCAGGTTGTGGCTGATGGTTGCGTAGTTGGGCTCCAACTGACAACACCGTCGGGTCAGGAAGGGGTCCTAAAAACACAAGTAACAGAAACCATTCATCAGTTAATAACTGCCAATGATTTACAAGCGACAGTGTAGCTAATCTGATATAAAGAACTAACTGTATGTTCTCATTTAAAAATTGCTGATGTTATCGGACTTTCAGCAATAGTAATAATAATGAATAATCGGATTCAGGTTTAATCATAACATAGTACAGACATTATCTTAATTCCATAATGTGCTTAAACAACAATATTGCTGGCCATAAACTGAGAAAGTACACATCTGGTGTGTGATACCTCGAGTTGTCCTAGACGCAGCGCTAAGGATGTTTACGTTATATCTTCAACTAGTTGAAATGTTCCTCCTGTAAATATATTTCCCTTTCAAATGCGCATTCTGATTAATACATACATTTATTTCCAAACTAACCGGACGAAGTCCAGTGCTCGCCTTCTCATTAACAGCGTTTTTTTCTTACTGATATTTCATACTGAATTTACAATCCTAAACTTTGAATTTCATTGCAGCAAGAAAGCAGCATTGGTACATCAAATGTGTGTAAATACTTTACTAACCTAACACTAGATATTGTTGAAAACGAAAGTAAAAGCATGACGCACGCTCACTACCGGAAATGAGAGTCCAGTATCTTTATTAAAATCATTTAAAAAAAAAAAATATTTATTTATTTAAACATATTAATGATGTAGCTAATTCACCCGCAGTTAGTTGGAATATTATTTTGTATTACTTGGATCTGCGCATCACTAAGGCACAGATGTGAATTTATAGCTTTTTTCCTTTTCTTTTCATCCTAAATGATGATGTAACTGCGGGCTGTTTACACCAGGGCACTTCATGTGTTTCTGTGATCTGACAGCTATATCCGATCGTGAAAAGACCAGGTGTAAATGCCCTCCGAAACGCACTCGAGACGGATTTAAATCCGATCGCTCAAACCGCTTCAGGAGGAGGTCTGGGCCGCTTAACAGACGAAAGTGGACAAGTGTAAATGCATCTGGTTGTTGAAACCACATTTGTAAATTGGACTTCTCCCAACAATGCTAAAAATAAACGTGTGAGAGCGTATTATAGCGATGAAGCTATGGCAACACGCATCGCCGCAGATGAGCAGCTCGAGCATCTATTCATCAAGCCGACGTGCAAACTATCGCAAATCAAAGTGAAAGTAAGTCGCAGACGCTTAACCACTGATCTATATAATGTCATTCTATATAGATCAGTGCGCTTAACACACAATCATCTTCATTAAAAGTAAAGAAACAGAAATGATCTTACCAGTGCTGTCTCTCTTATTGCGGTCTTTGATTTTGAAATTAGCTGATGATCAATAAAATGCAGCTCATTATTGTTGCTTTCGGTGACGTGAACTGACGTGACGTTAAATCGATAGCGCGTTGTTTGAAGATCGGATTTATATCTGTTTTGCGAAAACATATTTATGTGACCAGGTGTAGGCTAAATAGCATCGTTTTGATAAATCAGATCAGTAAAAAAAAAAAAAAAAAAAAAAAAAAAGTGACCAGGTGTAAACGGCCCCATTATGAGCTGTCTGTCAGCATCTGTATAATTTTCTGTTAATTAATTGCAAATTGTGGCATGTTGCAAAGCAGTCCCATCTCTTGTTTTTATGAATGACGTCATCGACTAGTCGACGTCGACTCGACTTTGATGTCATAACAGTCGACTTAAAAAAATCTGAAGTCGTTCAACCCCTAATTCATCAGTGCTCACACACTGCAGCGTTGTGGTCACTATTTAGACGAGCACTGACGTGGGGTGAAATTTTCACGCATGTTTAAGAGCCATGGCTTATGTTAGATTAAAAACCTACAAGTTCCTTTGAGTTTGAAAAATCATGTACACAGTAATCATCAAAAAATCTCTTCTCCTGTCTCTTAAAATGAACACCCGCAGGATGATTTACAAATTTTCAGAGGCGTTTATTCAACTAGATGTTAACAAAAGCACATTGAAAATACATAACCGGAAGAATCGATACACTGCTTCGACGAGCACTTCCAGTAATCAATTCTGCCGTGATAAAAGTCTATAAGTAAATTACAGTAATTAAAACTTACCAGCGTAAGCGCGATACAGAGTAGATTTGACACTACTGCGTCCTAGCGCCTTTGGCTTTCGTACCACGAGTTCATCCGTGGGTTCGGGACGAATCCCCTGTATCAACACAAAAATAAATTAAATTCAGTTGCAAGTCTGAGAGAGTATCAGTTTAATTCAGCACACAAGTCATATTGTAGGTGTACATCCTATGCAGGCAACCGCTGCTCTGCAAAATAGAAGGAAACAAATGTATACTGAAATGTGATGTGTGAGTAATTCTAGAATTGCATGTATGGCTATATCTGAGGGACCCAGACAAATCTTATATTACCATGTGAACAATTCTTATGGATGAGGTGTAGGATATGGATATACTGTGCAGAAACATCTACACCAGAATCAGTATTCCAACAGTGTGCACTTACAAACTTTAAAGACACAACTTGCATCAGACAAACTTACCTGTGTCCTTGGACGGTGCCATGATTGAAGCACACCGGTGCAGGACAGTGGGGTTGGCACAGTTTTCAGCCCCATGGTGCTGTAGTGAGCCGTTTGAAACAGGAGTCCAACCACATGGTTGCATAAAGCCATTCCAGCAGCACACGAGCAGGAGCATCCATTTAACTCCACAGGTCTAACGGCATGCAGCACAATCTAGAAATGGAGAACATATACTTGAGGGAAAGTTTGGATGTTTAGCCTATACAGTAATTAGCATTTGTTTGACACTAGGAACATTATTGTAAAACTAGGTTGAACAAAATCAAGGCAACAGCGGAAAAAAAAAAAAAGGTACAGATCTGCAACAGCAGATAGGCTATATGGAACAACAAAAAAGAGCATCCGCAACAGCAGAAGAAACAAAAACATACTGAACAAATGCACCTGAACCTTTGTAGGTCTGAAACCATGCTCTATTCACTACACATTACAAGTTTGGGGTAATCTGGTAACGTTACTGTAGCACTGTCTGGATCCAAACTGTAAATCTGATGAAATCCATCAAGTGAAAGCAAAAAAGTCACATTGTTCGAATTATTCAAATAGGATACGCTGTATTTGAAGTGAACCTATCTAGCTAGTAACAAGCTGACGAATAGCTTACTAAACATAACAAGCTAGCGATAACTCGCCAACAGAACAGAATTCAAGCTACTTACCTCTATAATTGAAGACAAAATTCTCGTAGAAGAACTTGTATCCCTTCTCCAACTTGGATGATTCGCACCACATCGTCTTGGCCAACTTTTGGGAGATGCGAGAGAGAAGTTGTCCAGCGATTACAGGCAGCCATTTCGAACGCAATAACCGGAAGACGCAGTACACTGCTTCAGCTATTTTTGACGGCTACTTCCGGCGTTCTATCGTGATGCGATAAAGGCCTATTGCAGTTTTTCGCACTTCCGGGTAGGCTTCATTTTTCAGATTAGAATGTTGCCGCTTGTGTGTAACCCTGTTAAAACGTCTCTGGTTACTGATGCAACCTACACAGCAAAATCTTTAGTGTTAATTTGAGTTAAATTATTCCGAGTGAATGGGTGTTGATTTGTGAGTTATTTTAACACTTGCAGTGCTGAAAAAGCTCTGTGGGGGGCGTCATTTCAAGGAGTCAGGAGTATACACTAATTTTGAGTTACTTTCCACATCCGGTTTTTTCGCGCTCATTGACGAGCGGGAGAATCACTCGTCTCTTCACTTACCGATTGGGATATTCGGCTTAAAAGGTAAGAACCACATTTATCAACTTATAAAGGCTGTTAACGTTAGTCGGTATTTAAACCATGTTTTAACGTTTAGTGGAGTGTGATGCAGTCGATTTGCAAACGTGTGGATTAAGTTAACGTGTGGTGGGGGTCGTCGTCGGTTTTTTTGGTTTTTATTATTTAAATTAACGTTAACTTAGTTGATGGTTGAGAGAGGACATTTCTGTTAGGAATATTCGGTTAGAAGGGTGAGAACCACATTTATCAACTTATAGAATGTTAGTCTTAACGTTTGAAATCGACAGTCAAATTAGGCTAGTTCAGCAACTGAAAAACTGTAAAATTACGCCAGCGCGTTTTAATATAACATTAACAACATGTGCTTAACAGTGTTTGTAACGTTACATTTAAGAAAACCACTGAATGGTCAGTGTGCTTATAGTAACGTTTAATTTTATGTGGTGTCGTCGCATGTCTGCGTGCAGGGATTACTTAATTCAAATTTTTCGTCGGCGCCAACGTTATTTGAGGTTCAGATTTAACTGTTTTTTTAATTGCAATAAACTGATAAAACTAAGCCGAAATACAAACATCGTGATGAAGATTTGTAAAACGTTTGAATTCATACTACGGTAGCCTATATCAGGTCCATCCGCAAGACAACAAGCAAACAACTTTTAAAATGTTTGTTCTCTAAATAGAGTTTTGGGCTATGGTGGATGCATGCAAGTGGTATGAACCCAAAATAAACTAATTCTGCCGTGATATACTTTCTTAAATGGGTAAAACGTATGCCGAAGCCGCAACATCATGATCCATATGAAAAAGAAAATCAGGTCTGTTCACAAAATGACAAGCAAACAACTTTTAATAATGCTTGGTTTCTGACTGAAGTTCAAAAAAGTTGCCAGGGCATCATGTTTCAAACCAGAATTTTTTTTTAAATATGTTTCACTGCTTATTAGCACTTTTCACTGCTTGTTTGCCACTTAAACATAAGCTAACATACCGGTATATCCTTGCAGTTAAGATTGAACCACTTCTCACTTTTTCTCCACTAGGTGCAGTTTCAGGATGTTACCATGTTGCTGAAGGTGAAATACCGTAGTGTCAAGAAGTACATCAAATTGCACTCAGGCTTCACCTATTCAGAATTCACCAGGGAAGGTAAATAGCCATCCTTTAAAGGCCAAACAAAATATGTAGCCACTTTTGCAACAAATCACAGTACATGATTATCTGTGGCTGACCTATTTAAATACTTTTGGCTGTATTTAACAGTTTATTAAAATGTTGTCATTTTATTTTAATTGCAGGGCTTTACTTTTAATGACAGTTCATAGTGTAATCATCAACATTAGTTAGTACATGGCAGTATACTTTTGCTGCAGATTCTTTAACATTTACAAGTCAAGAAAATAGTTAAGTAGGATGATTTAAAACTTGCTCCAGGTGACTTTATCTTGTTACACTCTCTCTTTTTATAGTCAAAAACAAGTTTGAGCTTCCTGATGAGGCTCAACTTGACATTTTTGATGAAACTGACACAGCAGTAGAGGAAGACATTCTTCTAGAGCTGTTGGAGGCCGATTCAGACATGTGCCTGACAGTACGTCAGTACAGCATTTCAGATGAAGGTAGGTGTCATTAAGAAAACCTGTGTTTATGGATGGGGCTCTTTGATGCAGCTGACATTGACCTTTCTTTATGGAACGAACAAGGCAGTGGGCAATGATGGAACAAGTTTGTTACTGATTACTAAAAATATCATCCAAATACTTTAGGGTAACTTAAAATGTTTATACTAAAATTGGTAAAGCCACAAAAAGTTAAGTTAATCAAATTCTCTCTTTTTAAAGAATTTTCTCCTTTACCACCATCTTCAACACCATCTTCCCTCACGGATACCACATCCCTTTCTTCAAGTGACAGTGACCTTAGAGAACTGAGTATTCCCACAACAAGCAGAAATGTATCCAGCAAAGAACACATGAGCAGTTCTGCAACAAAGGCTTCCGTGTCAGAGGCGGCAAAGGAGGTAATTGAGAGCTGAAAACTTCTTATAATTGATGGTAAATCAAATTAAGGTGTCATGCTAAATTAAGATTATCAACAATTGAAGCATTTGGTTCCAAACTCTTTATCAAAGAAAATGTTATTACTTTGCCCCTTCCTAGATTTTTACCATACAGACATGTTGTGCTATGTTTTTTCTGATTTTATTTAATAGAAAGAATTGAACAATAAAACTTAAATTTCATTTTCCTGTTATGTGAGTAGATGGTAGAAAAGGCCTTGCTTAAGAAGCCTGGAGGAGAGGATATTCTTGAAGAGTACAAGTCAGAAAATTCACTAATGCACCGCACTCGGAGACAGCTTGTCAACCTATTGGCGAGTGATATGACTGAGAGACATGGGTAAGATTTAAAAAGGTTTTTATTACAAAGGAATTTAAAAAAAGGATGTAATCTTGTAATAATATAACTAATGTTTATTGTACTATATAAAGAGGAATTATTAAAGATTGACTTTCTTCACTCTATAGCAGGTTTCCTTCCCGTCAGCAGAAGTATGCCCTGGGAATTATTACTCTCTTTCCCTCACTGAAGGATCCTTTTTCTCCAAATGGCTATGTAAGTTTAAAACCTTAAGAAAACACAGCACCCAATTTACAGAAAAGGGCGTTGGTGTTGTAGTTTTCATTATAAAGTAATTACAGTTGCTTATAAAAGTGAAAAGATTTGATAATTCAACAACAATATCGATAATAGTGCCCTGATTTGAAATTACTTGGGTTATAAGGATATTGCAAATTAATTTGAAAAAAGAAAATCTATTAAATAAGTAATTGTTCTTTTGTTTCACAATGCTGCATCTGCACTTTCTGTAAGATCATTTTGTGATTTATTTGTGTTTATTCATTTAAATGTAACAGGAGCATTTCTATGATGGGGAAAAGGGCACTGGATATTTAGCATGGCGCCTCAAAACCATTTCCAGGACTGCAGGAAAACGGCCAGTCAAGGAAGCCTCGGTGTATCAACCACAAGGACCAAAGCGCCGAAGATCAGCACCCACACTGCCTGAGCAACTAGATGGAGATGCCTGCAGGGAGGCCATTTCATTTCTTGTTCACTCTCCTGATGAAGCAAGTGTATTTCAGAAGATGATGACATTTCAACATCGTCAGGACCTAGTGCATGACCCACAAAGAAGCACAGATGTCTTCAAAATATTTCCACGCTTTTTGGATGTCAAAGGACTGGTGAGTTGTATATTTCTTTTATTTAAACTTAAGTATTCAATAACCAGTGTTTTGTGGGATGTTAGCCATGAAAATACACAATCATTTATCTTCCTGGCTTATTTACTGTATTATTTTTTTCCAAAATCTTTATTTTGATTTAAACTGGTTTAATATACCACACACTGATATTAAAAAAAAAAATCACTAAGCGCACCAATGCACTGAGCTCTAGCCTCATATATGCTTGTGTGTGTATAATCAACAGGTGAATCAAGACTTCCTGCTGCTGTTTGGTGCTGAAATGGCCTCCAAGATGCTTGAGAAGTGGGACACCTCATTCAAGTCATCAGAGGCCAAACAACTGACTCCGACAAATGAGCTGTGCCGACTTCTAAAAGCTGCTGAGAAACTTGAGAACACTTGTATCCAAGTAGGAATCTGATTCCTAAACATCGTTTTGTGTTACATTACCCGTCTTGTATTCGAAAAATTTAACCATTAATAGATATGTGGAGTATGAGATTCGAGGCAAAACACAGGGTTTTCAAGAGCACACTTAAAAACTTCAAGAACATCACAGTATCACTTGCCAAAAAACATCAAATGTCCATAGCATCTAATTGGGAAACATCTCCTTTGAACCATGTTGAGTACGGACCTTTGAAAACATTTAATGTGGACAATGAGGAAAATGGTGAAATGTTTGCCCAAGCTCTTCCCGCTGAAGCCAAAGACATCTTCTCTACTAACTGGGTAAAGATCAGTGGGGTAGAGTACAGAGCCGGGTTAGTCATTTGCAGTAGCACAGAACAGGAAATGCCTGTTTTTTGCAGAATTAAAAAAAATGCTTTTAGTCAACAGTGTGATCTACTTCATAGTGAACAAGCTTATGGTTGACCATTTTAATGAGCACTTTCATACAATGTGTTCGAAAGTGATGAAATGGATGTGATGAAAGCAGACTCTCTTCAAATTTATAAGCCTTTTGACTTACAAAGTGCTTATGGTAAAGATGATAGCCTTTACATTGTACCATTATTTTCTATGTAAATGTGCATAGAGTTCAATTGTATGGTGCTTGGATATTTTGCCTTTATTAAAAAAAAAGTTGAATTCTTTGTACGTTTATTTTTTCCTATGGTGAAAAGGCATTTTCAGAACATTGTATGTAACAACTATCTTGAATACACTAGTGTTATTATAATAACACAGAATTATTTAAATTAACACTTTTAAGAGTAAAGGAGTTAAAAATACTATTAAAGTGTGACTGAATGTTAGGAATTAACACCAAGGAATAACACCTCTGTAGTGTAAAAATTACTCATAAATGTGTTAAGAAATAACACTTTTTTAACACTATTATGGAGTTAAAATATTATCACTATCCAAAGTGTTAATTTAACTCTGGACGGGTGAGAATTATATAAACTCTGTGAAAGTGTTAAATTTAACACTATGGGAGTTGAAATAACACTGACGTTTTTGCTGTGTATGTTCTCTGAATAGGGAACGAGATGCTGCGTAGCTTAAGACGCAGTGGGAACGCCCTCTGGGTGTGCCGACTCTCTGAAGCCCTTGTAGAATCACGCCAACTCATTGGCTGATGGCGCGGGCGCCGCCCCGACGCTCTTGCGTCGTCATATTATATTAGCGCGCGCGCCATCAGATTTCTCTGCCGAAAAAGGAAGCTTGTCGGCAGCGCAAGGAGCTTGGCAGCGAACGCAGCGTCTCGTTCCCTATTCAGAGAACATAGGTTACATCAGTAACCAGAGACGTTCTCTTTCATAGGTTCACTCAACGCTGCGTAGCTTAAGACGCAGTGGGAACGAAATACCAAACTCGCCAAGCTAAGCGCTGCCGTAACTAGTACAAAGACCAGATAGCTCACACGACTGGTTCAAGCAGATAAAACTTGGGAACCGGGAGTCATGTCAAGATCCAAACTGTAGAATCTGACAAAAGTGTGCGGAGAAGACCAGCCTGCCGCTACACAAATGTCTTCCAGGAGGGCACCTCTAAAAAGTTTTTGCTTGAGAAGAAGCCACGCCTCTGGTGGAATGTGCCCTGATGCTAAGAGGTGAAGGCAGACCACGCACCTCATATGCCAGCGAAATAGCCTCTGTAACCCAGTGGAAACTTCTCTGCTTTGATGCGGCAAGCCCGCGGCGGCCAGCACCAAAACATACCAGAAGCTGGTTGGATTTTCTCCAATCGCAAGAGCGATCCATGTATAACTTCAATGCTCGGACAGGGCAGAGCAAATTATGCCTCCTGCCCTCCTCAGAAACAAAAGGAGGAGGATGGAAAGAGTGAAGGTTAATAACCTGAGACCGGAATGCTGTGGACAATACTTTGGGCACATATCCCGGTTTTGGTCTCAAAGTCACCCTGACCAGACCAGGAGCGAAGTCTATACATGTCTTGCTAACAGAAAGAGCTTGCAAATCCCCTACCCGCTTCAAAGAAGTCAAGGCTAACAAAAGGAGTAACCTTGAGAGTCAGAATCCGATCTGGAGCTGACTCTAAGGGCTCAAAGGGGGCCTCCGTTAAGCCCTCCAGGACGACCGACAGGTCCCAAGAGGGAATTCCAGGGGAGCGTACTGGTTTCAGGCGCCTAACCCCATGCATAAATGCTGAGACTAACCTCAATTTACCTAGGGGGATCTCATCCGACTCTCTATGAGCGGCAATAGCAGCAACATACACTCTCAGAGTAGTAGCGGCCGCTCCAGAAGCAAACTTCTCCTGTAGGAATTCCAGCACTGAACCAACTGGGCAGATGACTGGGACCGTAGCATGTGTCGAACACCACGACTCAAAAACCCTCCACTTGGAGGAATATAACCTTCTCGTGGAAGGGGCTCTCGCACTCGCAATGGTCTCCTGGACGTCAGTGGGAAGACCAAAGCTCAAGGCTAGCGGCCTCTGATGGGCCATACGCATAGCTTCCAAATTTCGGGGCGAGGATGCCATATCCTGCCCTGAAGCTGGGACAGCAGATCCTCCCTGACTGGAATCTCCCAGGGGGGGAGTTCCAGAAGAGGAACCAGCTCCGAGAACCATGGCTGGGACGGCCAGAATGGGGCTAAAAGTAGGAGACGGGCTCCGCTCTCCCTCACTCTGGACAAAACTGCCTGGATCAACTTGACAGGCGGGAACGCATAAAGCTTCTGCATCGGCCATGGGTGGGCGAATGCATCTATTTCCTATGGTGCTGGGGGGCTCAGGGAGAACCAAAGTGGGCATTGGGACGACTCCTGCGATGCAAAGAGGTCCACTTCTGCTTTTCTGAACACTTCCCAAATCAGGGCTACTGTTCGGTGGTTCAACATCCATTCCCCTGACCTGAGCTTCTGCCTCGACAGAAATCTGCTGCGAGGTTCAGGACCCCAGGAACATGGACTGCCCTCAGTGAAAGGAACTTGCCCTGAGACCACATGAGAAGGTGGCACGCATGCCTGTCTAGGGTGCGCGACAGTGAACCCCCCTGCCGGTTTACATGAGAGACTACCGCCATATTGTCTGTTCTGACAATGACATGGTGTCCTTCGAGAAGAGGGAGAAAGTGAAGAAGAGCCAGGGAAACAGCTCTCAGCTCCAAGCTGTTTATGTGCCAAGAGAGAGTCTCTCCAGTCCAGACCCCACAAGCTGGCCTGCCCTCGAAAACCGCACCCCAGCCGGTTAGAGAGGCATCCGTTGTAACTATTTGGTGGCGGAAAACTGCACCCATGCCGACCCCTTTCCGAAGGAAGAGGGGGTCCCGCCAGATTGAAAGGGCGCGGAAGCAACTGCGCGACACCTTCAACAGGCGAAGAGCCGGTCCTGTGGACTGGGCACCTGAGAGTTTCATCCATCACAGAAACGGCCTCATGTGGAGCAACTCTAGTGGAAGCACAGGGGATGCTGCGGCCATGAGACCCAGAAGCCTGCGGCAAGTGCCCACAGAAACACGATGGCCGAGCGTGAAGCGAGCCAAACATGTCAAAAGACTGGAAATCCGGGCAGGAGCCAAACGGGCCTGCATCAGAATGGAATCCAAACGCACCCCTAAGAAAACTGTGCTTTGAGCTGGGGTAAGAACACTCTTCTCTGTGTTCAACCTCAGGCCGAGAGACTGAATGTGACGAAGGACAATGTCCCTGTGGTGAGTCACTAATTCCCTGGAGTGGGCTATAAGGAGCCAATCGTCCAGGTAGTTGAGTATACGGATGCCCTGGAGCCGCAGCGGGGCCAGAGCAGCATCCAAACACTTTGAGAACGTTCTTAGCGCTAGAGCGAGACCAAAGGGAAGGACCCTGTACTGGTACGCCCTCCCTCCAA